GCGATCTCTGTATAAAAAGGACTAAGTATTAAGTGTGTATCCAAAGCTTGATATAGCTCATTTCCCATCAGCCATAGACTGTTATTGTTGTCCAAAAACTGTTAAACTCAACACAGGGCCATACTGCAGCATTGGGAAGTACTAATGTGAAAGACAGAATGTACATCAAGTTAACAAGTATAGATTTTGCCAATTATCTGTCGTCAATGGGGATTCAAATTAAAAAACAACAACAAAAAAAAAAAAAACAATCTTTGTGTCCGTGCAACAGGAACAGTTTTCAGTGTGGAGTAATGTGTCTGAGGAGGCTCAACTATGACAGGAAGGAGCTGGAGAGGAGACGGGAAGAGTCCCAGCTGGAGCTTAAAGGTAACAAAATCCCAGCTGGTTGAATTCTAGAGATTTAGTAGTACATGCACACGCACTTGACTTGTCTCTGTAAATTACACCACGAAACACAATGTTCTATGTCTTTTGTAAATTACACTCACGCTGGATTTTTTTCACTGTCACTTCAGATGTGCTGGTGTGGAGTAATGAGCGTGTCATCAGTTGGGTTCAGGCCATCGGACTGAAAGAGTACAGTGGCAACCTGTATGAGGGTGGAGTCCATGGAGCGCTGCTCGCCCTGGATGAAACCTTTGACCACAATGCCCTGGCCCTGCTGCTGCAGATCCCCACACAGAACACTCAGGTACACACAGCTTGCCGGCTGTTTCACCAGCTCACTGTAGTTTTTATGCCTATTCCCAAGAACGCAATATCTCAAGGACACCTTGGGAGAATTACTTCAAATTTGGCATAAACGTCCACCGGGACTCAACAATAAACTGATTAGATTTTGGTGGTCAAAGTTCACTGTGACCTTGCATCTGTCTCTTTCTTGTGAGTTTCCTTAAATTTGGCACAAAAGTCCACTTGGCCTTAAGAATGATCTGATTAGAATTTGGTGGTTGATGGTCAAAGGTCAAGGTCACTGTGACCTCAGAAAACATGTTTTTGGCCATAACTAAAGAATTCATACAGCTATTGTGACAAAATTTCAAGCAAATGTCTAAGTAACAGTCTGTGCTTTTCTTCCTCTTGTCTCGCTCTTCTAGGCCAGAGCAACGCTTGAGCATGAATACAACAGTTTGCTGGCCAATGGCACAGACAGGAGAATGGAAGAGGTGACAAACACACACACAACACACTTGCCAAAACAGCAACATAAACTGAGTGAGAAATTGTGTATTATATGTGAAACCAAGCTTTTTTTCTTTTTTACACACCTCTCTTAATCTCTTCACCCTTCTCTTTCTCTACCACCTCTCTTCCAGGATGACGATAAGAACTTCCGCCGAGCTCCCTCATGGAGAAAGAAGTTCCGGCCAAAAGACATGAGGGGGATGTCCTTGGGCGCATCAGATACCCTGCCTGCCAACTTCCGAGTGACCAGCAGCAGCGCGGCATCTCCATCCACGCAGCCAAAGAGGAGCCCGATGGACGGTGAGCAGAGGAGATAGTGCCAGATGTGTGTGCATGTGTGCGTGTTTGTGTGTGATGTGCTCCGTCGTTGCTGCTACTTACTCAAGTAGAACTTCTCTGATGGGCCCTGAATCAGCCCAGCTTCCTCGTGTACTCCTAATTCTTCTTTAATGACTTTGCTGCTGTGCTGTTTGTTTATCATGCTGTGACTAATGGCATGTCTTTGCATGTTATTTTGCTGACATGGAAACACAGGAAGTCAGTCTATACAGAGGCTGGACACTGCCACAGTCAGGACCTACTCTTGTTAACATACAACGGTAAGATCACACGCATCAACTCTGAAATAATTGAAGCACGTGTAAACTCAAAGCATACGGTATGGCTATTACCTCACTGCAGAACTGCTTCTCTCTTTTTCCAGGCAGAAAGCAGCTTTCTTGTACTGTACTTGGCTCTAATAACGCATGTTATACACCTCTCCTCTCTTTCCCTTTATCCCCCCCCCAACCACCCCTGGCTTCTGTCCTGCTTCTCCTCTCGTGTCTGTTCATCTCTCTCTTCCCCTTTTCAGTTTATCCTCATTATTTCTATAGGTAACCGCTGGTCAGAGGATGAAGGGGAATTCCCTGCATTCAAGACCAGGATGATGAACTGAAATGACTTGCAAGGACACTAAAAAGATCTTTTGTGTTTTTTGTTGTCATCACAGAGAAAGACCTTACTCACCAATCTCAGTATCCCTAGTGGAAACTTTTTGGATTTATCTACATTTGTTATTATATTTATGTAAACCAATGGGACATTTAATTGATATTAGAATTACTATGTAAACCTTTTTTGCCTCTATCCCCTTAATCAACCCACTTTTTTTTTAAAAAAAAAAGAAACATTTCTCCACTGTGCCCGTATTAAGCTCAGCTCTCAGATGTATGTAACTGAATGTTTCAATTTGTCTGGAGTTTGTATATTTCTACCAACAGACATTTTATCTAATCTTTTTATAATCCTGATTCTATTGACCAGATGTATGTTTTTTTTCCTCTCTTTGATTTGAATTCTAATCATTGAATTTATGCTTAAGTGACTTTGATATGTGATATAACTTAATTGATATCCTTTGCCCTTTTTAACTGTTGTAATTTTTGTAGCTTATTACCTGTGATTTTGTGTAAATACAGCTCTTAGGTCAACGGTCGTGTGAATATCAGACAAATTGCTGGAGCTATCAGACTGTTTCACAAACTGCTCAACACTGTGAGTCATCCATCGCCATTAAAATAACTGCTGGCAAGCCAGGTGATGGTGACAACAGAAACCATGTGAAACACAGTATATTTTCCTTTTCTAATCTTTATTTTCCATATCTGCAAAACCAAAATGAAACTCTTGAATTTAAGAATTAAAGCCATATAACAGTAGCGAGAAAAAACAAACAAACAAAAAAAAACCGGGGGCTTCTTTCAGATGCAATGAAACAGAATTTTAGGTGCTCTCTAGTTGACCTTGCATGTGGAAACTTCTCCACTTATCCCCACCCTACTACACCCAGCTCCTCCCTTTAACAAAACTCAATCTCCCTCACTTTTGGAGTAACACACAGATAGGCTCACTTGTACTGGAGGACTTGAAACGTATGGATGAGTTGACTGTGTGGCAACTCCTTCGATGGACCAACTTCACCGAGGCCTCAGTCGATCCCCGCTGTGACTAGATTACCCTCAAGGCGGTGCGATCCACCTATAAACCTTTTTTTAAAAACACTTTGTATGAAGATTTCATATCAAGCCTTATTGTTTCTTAACTCCTCTCTGTCATCTGTTCGTATTTATTATTATTCAACCTACATGGGGTTTGGTCAGTTCAAAGCTGAGGCCCCAGTTTGCTCCTGTGTGAATGTAGCAGTGCTCCTCATGTCTAGGTTTTTCATGTCTACGCTCCCAACACAGGTTCCACCATTAGTTTTCATGGCGAATGAGAAGGAACCTAAGAGTTTTCTTTCACCCTACATGTAGTTAAAGCTTAAAGTAGATTTTTTTTTGTTTGTGATTTAGTCATTTATGCACAATGCAAATCATGTTGCTGTTGTTTTATTCCTGCTCTTCCCATTGAATCTTCTCATCTTGTAACAATGATGTACAGTCTGAGTACTTATAAACTATTTTTATCACAATATTATTTATTGCTTACTTTCAATAAAATACTGAAACTTATTTTCCACTGCAGATAAAAAAGACTAAAACTTGTCTTTGAGAATTTCTTGTCCTATTTTTGGTTTGTTTTGGGCTTTCTCAGCTAGCCCTCTTTAACAAGGTCCATGTTGAGTGTGACTGAATGCCTTTTGTTATGCCAGTCATATGCTTGTAAGATGTGGCAGCAGGCAGCAGCTAAACCTCATTTGTTTCAGTTTTCAAAATGCATCACCAGTAAGAGTGGACAGTTTGTTGTAAAGGTCAGAAGTGCTTTATTTTACAGGTCCCTTTTTTTCCATTCTTTTTCCAGAAGTTCCCTGTAAAGAACTCTGTAATTTGGTATTAATTTTAAGAACAATTGAGACATTATTCAGTCTGTACAGTTGAAATAATTTATTCAGTTAAGTGCTAGTGTAACTTGGGACTCTTAGCCAGTGCACAGCAGGTCAGCTAAACATGCAGAAATGCAAAACTTGTCTACAGCAGGCAAGAATACAATTCAACAGCTATGAAGAATAAAGCTTCTAATGACATATTGATAAAGAATAAACATTTACATTAATTTATATAGTGCTGTACTTTGTTGAATATTACTGTTTTCCTATATTTGGCAAAGTTCCCGGGAAATGATAGTAAGCTATTAAAAGCATTCAGCCCCTTTCATGTTTTATTGTTTTGTAACATTCTGTTAAGGGGGATTTAATGTTTTTCACACTGATCAACAGGAAAAGACCCTTTCATGTGACATGTCAATGTAAAAACAAGAGTTAAGTAACCAAGCACTGCTCTCTACACAAAATGTGTTAGGTTTGTGGTCAAAACTTTTGTGAGGGTTTTAAATATGTAGTGGGACAATGCCACACATGTTCTTGAATAGCCTGAGGAAGGTACCAAAGAGATCAATTGATTTGGCTGCCTCCAAATTCCCGAGGTCCCAGTCTGAGTAAGTGTGGTGTTACTTCAGAGCAGGCTCACCACCAGGGGGGGTCAAAGGGTACAGATGACCCCGACCCAAGGCCCAAGGTGCCCCCATGCAAAGGCCTATGCACCACTCACTGGTGGTGCTGAAGTGAGTGTAGTGGGTGGCCCAGTTTGGAAGAGTTTGTCCCCTTGTCCATAGCTCCTAATGGCTGTTGACCGTTGCGCCTCCTTTTATCTGACTTGGCTCTGACCTGTAGAGGCATGGACACAGGACCCCTGGGGGTGTCCTGCGTTTGGCACCAGGCAGAGAGAGAGAAAAGAAGATATATTAATGTTTAAGGAAAAAACAAATAGGATTTTACAGTGAATCACCAATATCTTGCATCCCCCGCCCATTTGTGACGTCAGCGCTGGCGGAGAACGGGATACTGGGAGAGCCGGAAGAGCTGCGGACAGAGAAGGAGGCAGCAGATCCCTGTACTGGCCCTCCATCAACGCTTCAGGTGAGAACGGAATACATCCACCAGGGGGGATCTTTTTTTAAACTCGGTCTAGACTCTGGTCGGAGCTACGGTGAGTATTAACGCTTCATCTGGAGGTTTTTTAAAAGGTCTACCTGTGGAAAAAAAAACCCTCACCAAGCTCGCGCTGAGTCAGTGAATCATTCCAGAAGGCATGTTAGCTTTAGCCAGCTAAGCTAACTGGCAAAACTGGAACAGGAAATACCACTGACGCACAGCTACCACTATTCCCGAATCTGGAGCTAAATGAAGCACATTTTACCGTTTGCGCTCCACTTAACGTTAAATCCCCATGTGTCGACATAAGCATTAATGAGGAATACATCCTGTTTCCAAAGCCTGTCTACTGGTGAAAACCCAGAATACGATACGCAGACAAATGTTTCAGTGTTCCTATTGAGCCGCTGTGGAGAAAAAACACCACAGGAATGCCTATGTAGCTGTGTTGAAATGGGGGAAATAATACCTACATCTGTGGGGATGAGAGTCTTTTTTATAAATGTGGCCTGACCTAACGTTACTTATATTGAAGCTAACTAACCGACCTAAGCTAGGATAAACGAGCTAACTTGTGTCCCTTTACTGAAACAACATCAATGCATCGGTCTAACTTGATTCTACCAGCTGCTCCCTGTTATCCAGATTGCATTTACGCCTCACTGTCACGTCTACCCGCACTTTTCCTCCACCGGACTGGTCAGAAAGACTAAAAGCATTGTGGGTGTTGTATGATGGGTGCGGTTGTGTTGTCCTGTCAAGTAACTGACACAATCAAAGTTGGGACTCGCCAGTCTGCTTCCTGGTCCGGGACAAGGAAACTATATTTTCCTTGGTCTGGGGGAGTTTTCCTTTGTCATGTCTGCAGAGGTGACTGAAGCCATGTCTCCTGCAGCCTCTGATTAAAAACATACGCTGATTGCCCATATTGTGCTGAGTCAGACTTTGGGATCGGTACAGAAAGCTTTTGTCTCTGTAAGACGCCAGGTTACTTGAGATCCAAACTAACACTGTTTATCATGTCCCCACTCGCTCTGCAGCATCTAAATTTAGTGTTGTCACTATACTAAAACTTTTAACTTTCACAGTCAGTGAAGTACATTCAGTATTGAACAGAACAAAAACATGTCCAAGTCTTCATTCCCTCACCCAGCTCAGGTTGTGAAGCACTACCTACAAAACAGAAAAAAAAGAAATGAATTATAATGATAAATGAAAACAATATGTTTAATACATATAAATAAGTTTAAAAAAAAAATAGTAAAAAATTAAAATATACCAACAACAGGAGAAAGGCGGGAAGGGGCTGGGGATTGTTCAGCCCTCTTCCATGTCTGGTGCAATGTTTAGCAGGTCAGTATATTCCATAAAAGGGTTCCAAATTCTCTGGAATCTCAGTTTCTCAAGTTTATATCACATAGAACGTCCTTAATTCAACAATCATGTGTAGGGGGAGAAATGTGCTTCCATTTTAGTATATTTACAGTAGGGTTGTGAAGGCCAGGGCTCGCTGGGTCACGACAGGGAGGCCAACGTCAGGCGGAACGCTAAAGATGTCAAATAAAGAGTAAAGGGATTTATTTTAATTTTTTCTTTCTTTTGAAAGATAATCGACCTATAACAAGTCTGTAACAAGACAATGACAACTTTTTTTTGTAAAGGGGAACAGCAGAATGACTCTCGGAAACATTAGCAGTGACAGCGTGATAAAGCACAGTTAGTACTGGTGTATCAATACTGCAGAATATGAGTATTGAAACAGTTTCAAATAATAAGAATTGATATGTATTAAAGTGATATTTTGACAACACTGTTTAACTGTAGGTTAGTGTAATTCAGGGTGATAGCAGCTGGTAGAGAATCAACATCTCGCTTTAAGACAATTCATCATGGAGGGTGCCTCTGTGGTCTAGGCCATATA